TAAGAGAAAAGGCTCCCGTTGCAGTTTCTTGCTGTTTCTTTTTGGTGGCAGCTTTCCTTAACCAAAAAGCACACCTAGCTGTTGATGTCCCCAGACCCCAGGCAGGAGGCTGGGGTGAGGGACTTCAACTCTGTCTGTGCCAGCGAGGGCCCCAGGCTTCTCTCATGACCTCTTTCCCAGGCCCCCGCTGGGTCCTTCCGAAGGTGCAGGCCTTGTCTCTGCTTCTCTGGGACTGCAGGCCTCATGCCCCCACACCCTGGGCAGCAGGGCATGGTAGATGCATGGCACCCCCCTTAGTGGCACCTTCCCATTGTGAGAGAACAGCCTGAAACCCGCCCCTGTTTATACCTCTGATCTCCCACGGCCCAGGCAGCCATCGGGGGAGGTGTCTTGTCAGAGGCCTTAGTCCAGAGGCATCCCAGCGGTGGCGGCAATTTCAGTCCCAAGTCCACTGGAGGGCTGCGCTGTGTATTTTTAGGCGGATGAAACTCTGACCCTCACCGCATCCAAGCGACTGTCAGTTATCACCTACAAAACTACCGGGGGTGACGCCTGAGTGACAGTTGTTCATGAAGAACCCAAACAATGGTGAAATATGAGCAGTTACCTACATACCGAGGACACGGAAAGACCATTCCCAGGTGATGAGAACTCAGAGGGCCGGGCAATGCCCTCACATCAAACTCACCCCACCGGTGAAGAGACTGAGTCCACAGAGAAATGCCTGACCCGCCCGCCTTTGGTTTTCCTGCGGCACATCCTCCGTGCTGTTCTGACAGCCTTTCCAAACCCACATCTTACATGCAGCTGCCCAGTGCCCTTCATGAGTTTCCAGGAGCAAGATCACATCCAGACTAACTGCTGTGGTCTTCGGGCCCCTGTGCACCTCCGAAATAGCTCACCACAGCTCCAGGCTGTTGCATGCCACGTGCGTGTGAGTACACACACACCTGTCCATGCTTACACGCCCATGCTCACGCACACCTGCCCATACTTACACACCCACCCACGCTCACACACCCACACACACCTGCCCACACTCACATCTGCCCACTCTCAGATGCCAATGCTCACACACCTGCCCACTCACCCACACGCATATGCCCACGCTAATACCCACACACCTGCCAATGCTCACACACACGCCCACGCTCACACATCTGCCCCCCACACACCTGCCCACACTCACACAACTGCCCATGCTCACACCTGCCCATGCTCGCACACCTCCCCACACTCACCCACACCTGCCCACGATCACACACCTGTCCACACTAACACATGCCTGCCCACGCTCACAGATGCCCACGCTCACACACTTACACATGCCCATGTTCACACCTGCCCACACACCCACCTACACCTGCCCACGCTCACAACCTGCCCACACACACCTGCCCACACTTAACACCTGCCCACACTCACCCAGATGCCTACACTCACCCACACACACCTGCCCACACCCACACACCTCCCACACCCACACACCTGCCGCCACACTGACACACCCACACACACACCAGCCCGTGCTCACACACCTGCCCATGCTCTCAGCTTCCCACACACACCTGCCCACACCCACCTACCCACGCTCACACACACCTGCCCACACACCTGTCACATTCACACACATGCTCATACTCGTGTTCACAAATTTCTGTGATTGTCCCATACATGATTTTCTCTATTTTCTAATACTTCATTTTGAAATCATTTCAAACTAATACAACTGTTGTGAAATTAGGACGAGTTCCCATATACTGTTTACCTGGGTTCCCCAAATGTCAGCATCATCACTCAGCAAAATGCGCAAGATCAGGAAATGAACAGACATGACACTGTTATCTGCCCCGCAGGCCTTCTTTAGGGGGTCCACAAATGCCCCTTTCTGCCCTGGGATCCAACCTCTAGTGGCCACTGGTTTTGTGGAATGTCCCTGAGTCTGGGTTGCATGTGTTTGATAACTGATTGTGCTGGTGATGATACTGGGAGTGGAAGCGGCTGGCTTCATGTTGCTGTGCCAGGATGGCAGGTGTGGGCCCAGCCAGGACACCCCCAGCTTGTGTTCCTCTACTCGGGGCTCTCAAGTGTAGGTTCCCTCCCTCTTGTTTTTCTCCCGGAACAACACGGGACATATCAAGTTTCCTACATTCTGTCCTTTGTTGGTCACGTCCTCATAGTGTTATTTCTCTCTATTTCTGGTAGCTTGGCTCCATCAGGTTCAAGTTCAGGTTTGACCCAGCCCCCTCAAGCCTCTCCCCTTCATGGACCGAGGATGCACCCAGTCTTCACCATCAGCCTTCTCCCTGGGAAGTTGGTGTACTCTGCTCTCCTCTGCCTCTATTTGTTCTCCCTCCATGTGCCCCCTTATTTAACCACCATCTATCAATGGACAACTTAAAACTCTGCCTTTAGCCAAGAGCTCCCTCTGGGGCTCCAGACCATCTTCCACCCCATAGTCTGAGGGATCTTTCTGAAATTCCATGTGAGGGGCACTCTTTCTCCTTGTACTTCCTGGTGGTGATTGTCCCTTGACCCTGTGCTTTGACTTCTGCCTGCCATGCCCTTCTCCCTTCTTCACCTGGATAAATCCCCCAGGAGCCACCGGTGGCCATGGGCAGAGTGAGCGCACTCTGTGTTCACCTACATGTTTATCTCCAGAGAGTGAGTCCTTGGGTACACATTTCATCTCTAGCCCCATTGCCTGAAAGAACACTCAGATACTTGTTAGATAAATGCTGAAAGTGATTGGAGATATTACAAATCCTATTTAGGATTTCCTTTTCCTTCTAACATTAAGTCAGGGTCTTATACCGACCTCAGGGTATAAGAACAGGAAGCTTGGCCGGGTGCGGTGGCTCATGCCTATAATCCCAGCACTTTGGGAGGCAGAGGTGGGCGGATCAACTGAGGTCAGGAGTTCAGGACCAGCCTGACCAGCTTGGAGAAACCCCATCTGTACTAAAAATACAAAATTAGCCGGGCATGGTGGCATATGCCTATAATCTTAGCTACTTGGGAGGCCGAGGCAGGAGAATCGCTTGAACCTGGGAGGCGGAGGTCGTGGTGAGCCGAGATCGCGCCATTGCACTCCAGCCTGGGCAACAAAAGCGAAACTCCATCTCAAAAAACAAAACAAAAAAAAGAACAGGAAGCTGGTAGGGCCCAGGGTCAGCTTCGCCTGCTTCCTGGCTCTGGGGCTTCTCCTCTAGAAGGCGCTGTGACAGGCACATCAGGGCACCAAGAGAAATCACAACTCAGTCCTTACCCTTCCTGAGCAGGGCAGACTAGGACTGTGTGGTGTTCACAGGTTATGAACACATGGAGAAGGAAGGAGTTGAATTTGAGGACATCTGAAAACTCTTAAGATAATGAATTGGACCTTAAAATATAGGAAGACTTCATGGAGTTGACAGTGGCTTGGAGAAGGCGGCATCTTGACTGTGGGGCCTGTAAGGGGCCTTCCACTTTGAGGTGCCTGGAATGTGGGATGCCAGAGGGAGAGGATGGCTTCATCCATCCTGGTATGGGTCAAGCTGTTGTGCCTTAGAGGCCTCCAGCTACAGAACTGAAGAAACAGCAGCCATGAGGAGCTGAAAAAGAATTTCTTCCAGCCTGGGGAACACAGTCAGGCCCCCTCTCTACAAAAACTAGAAAAAAAAAATTAGCTGGACATGGTGGTGTGCACCTGTAGTCGCAGCTACTTGGGAGGCTGAGGTGGGAGGATCACTTGAGCCAGGGAGGTGAAGGCTGCAGTGAGCCATGATCATGCCACTGCACTCCAGCCTGGGTGACAGGTCTCACTCTGACCCAGGCTGGAGTGCAGTGGTATGAGACCTGTGAAAAACATTCTGCAACTATTGGGGTGTATGTTGGAGGGAAGCATGAATAAATGAAGTCAGATTGTGTTTTGTGTTTTTGCTTCAGAGACAATTTGTGCATTTTGCAGGCGGCCCCCACTGCCCTCTCCAGTGCCTTCACCTGGGCTCCCACCTCTGGGCCTGCACTGCCAGCAAGGCCACCTGGCCAAGCTCCTGATCCTTGTGCCGCCCTGTCCTCTGGTCACCCTGACTGGAAGCCTTGGACCCGTTGCTGACTTTCTGTCCGACCTCATCCCCCACATTCAAACAGTGGCCTAGTGCTTGGAAATGTCCCTCTGGGGCTCCACAAGCACAAGAGGTGGCTGGGTGCAGTCCTGTGTCACCGACTTCCTCTGATGGCAGCCTGGCGGGTGGCCTTGGGCTCTTCCTACACCAGTCCACTCCCCTTTGCCCCCCGCAGACTCCCTCCTTAGGTCCTGGCACGCAGGTGGCACTGGATCCACTTCCAGTGACGAGAACACACCACTCCCAGCCTCGTTACCTCCCAGGCGTGCTCCAGTCCCTCAGACACAAACGGAAGAAGAGAATACTGTGTCTTCCTGAGCCCCTGACCTTCACAGATCACTGAGAGCTGGCACTCGGCACCAAATCTCCCTGATGGAGAAAGCGCTTGTCCTTCACTCCCGTGAGAGCCCCGCAGGCCTCTGGCTCCCGGCCAGTCAGCGCTGTCCTCCCCCAGCCCCTTTTTCTAGGCCTGCCCCAAGCCTGTCCTTGAAACCCGCCCTAGCTGCCCCCAGCCTAGGCCCAGGTGGACGCGCCCCTCGGGGTCTGCAGAGCCGGCGGGAGGCAGCGGCTCCGGGGCCCTGGGCAGACGGCGCCTCATCCTGTTCTGGTGGCACCTGTGGGCCCGTGCAGGCCGCCTGGGTTTTATTTTTCTGCGCACATTAGCCCAGTCTCTGGAAGCAGTTTTCCGGCCTGGATCAGGGCCGGTTAGATGCGCCGTCATTTCAAATATAAGGAAGCGCTGGGCAGATCCGTTGTCGGCCGGCCTCGCACGCGCGCCCGCAGGCCGAGGGCAGGACCGTCCCGAGGCCCTCCCCGGTGCCTCCAACCCGGGATCTCCGTGCGCGGCGCGGGGCTGCCCCCAGGCGTGACCTCCCCCGTGCTCTCTCCCTGCAGAATCTCCTACGACCCGGCGAGGTACCCCAGGTACCTGCCCGAAGCCTACTGCCTGTGCCGGGGCTGCCTGACCGGGCTGTTCGGCGAGGAGGACGTGCGTTTCCGCAGCGCCCCGGTCTACATGCCCACCGTGGTGCTGCGCCGCACCCCCGCCTGCGCCGGCGGCCGGTCCGTCTACACCGAGGCCTACGTCACCATCCCCGTGGGCTGCACCTGCGTCCCCGAGCCGGAGAAGGACGCAGACAGCATCAACTCCAGCATCGACAAACCGGGCGCCAAGCTCCTGCTGGGCCCCAACGACGCGCCCGCCGGCCCCTGAGGCCGGTCCTGCCCCGGAGGTCTCCCGGCCCGCGTCCCGAGGCGCTCAGGCTGGAGCGGTCTGGAGGGCTCGGTCGGCGACCTCTGAAGAGCGCGCACCGAGCAACCACGCGCGAGCATCCGGAGACTCGTCTGACACGGGCATCTCTGGTTGCTCTTAGCCACAAGCAAGCAGGGTGGCTGGAAGCGTATGGGAGACGACCCGGCACGGCCACCCTGTGTGCGGCCCGCACCGAGGGTCTGGAGAGGCGCACGGAGGAGCCCCCCAGGGCGGCTGCGGCGGGTACAGGGCGTGCCTCACCGCTGGGTGCTTGCCAAAGAGATAGGGACGCATATGCTTTTTAAAGCAATCTAAAATAATAATAAGTAGAGCGACTATATACTTACTTTTAAAATCAACTGTTTTGAATAGAGGCAGAGCTATTTTATATTAGCAAATTAGAGCTACTCTGTTAACATTTCTTAACATATAAACATTTTTTTTTAACTACTTCTGGTCGGATTTTTTTTTTTAAGCATAATTGGAATCCTTGGATAAATTTCTTAGCTGACACACTCTGGCCTGGGTCTCTGAATTCAGCCTGTCACCGACGGCTGACTGATGAAATAGACATGTCTGATCTGACGCACTCTTCCTTCCACTGAAGGTCTTCACGGGCCTCCAGGTGGACAAAGGGATGCACAGGCGGCTCGCATGCCCCAGGGCCAGCTAAGAGTTCCAGAGTTCTCAGAATTGGTTTTATGAGTCAGGAGTACAGAAACAGTCTCAAACTTGTACATTTTTTTTTTCCTTTTGAAAGCCCCTGGGGCCAATTTGTGGTTAAGAGGTGGTGAGATAAGAAGTGGAATGTGACATCTTTGCCAGTTGTCAGGAAGAATCCAAGCAGGTATTGGCTTAGTTGTAAGAGCTTTAGGATCAGGCCGAATATGAGGACAAGGTGGGCCACGTTAGAATCTGCAGGGATCACTCTGGAGGTTTCTGTTTCTACATTCTGCCACGAGAGCTAGGTCCTTGCTCTTTTCTTTAGATTGAAAGTCTGTCTCTGAACACAATTATTTGTAAAAGGTAGAAGTTCTTTTTAAGTCATTAAAAGAGTCTTGCTAAAGGATACACTGGCTGTGTGTATTTCTCTCAATTCTGCTTGATGGGCCAGACTAATTGTTAGAGGAAATCATGTGTTACCTCAGGTCTTCACTTTATCTTGAGGTTTAAATTCATAGAGATTTGATTTGGTCTTAGAAAGATCCACTAGTCAGGTAAGGCCAATGTCTTGGATCTTTGTGACACCCACAAAACCAGGAAGTGTCCTTTATTCACATGCGTTTCACTCCCAAACGTCAGCTACCACAGAAAGACCAACTGGCAGCCTTAGTCTGATCCAGATAGATGGGTCGCTCAGAGACTTCCAGCTCCCACTAGAATTGACAGAAATTGTGCATGAAAAACACATCACTGAGCAAATCCACACTTTTGTCCAAATACAAAATTCAAACTGGAAAGCAGCAGCTATGGATAGTTCCAGACTGTACTTCCCATTCAACCTCTGGGGGAAGAACGGGATCCTCTGGTGGTGGTGTGTCTACAACACATTCCCGTCCAGCAACCAGAAGGTCCAGAGCAACAGCACAGATCCACTCAGTAAAAAGAACTGCCTTTTTTTTTTTTTTTTTTTTTTTTTGAGTCGGAGACTCTCTCTGTTGCCCAGGCTGGAGTGCAGTGGCGCAATCTCAGCTCACTGCAAGCTCCACCTCCCAGGTTCACGCCATTCTCCTGCCTCAGCCTCCCGAGTAGCTGGGGCTACAGGTGCCGCCACCATGCCCGGCTAATTTTTTGTATTTTTAGTAGAGACGGGGTTTCATTGTGTTAGTCAGGATGGTCTCAATCTCCTGACCTCGTGATCTGCCTGCCTTGGTCTCCCAAAGTGCTGGGATTACAGGCATGAGCCACCACGCCCAGCCCAGAACTGCCTTTTAAAGCAGCGACTTAGGTGTTTTTTCCATTATCACTGCTGTTGTGTAACACTTTCCAGGTCACTCTTCAAATATAAATAGTGCAAGCCTTGGAGGAAGGGCACCCAAGGAGAGGAAACTCTGTGTGGGGAAAATGTCATGATTTTATTCACTGCATTAATTATTCATTTACCCTCCACTTGCTAAAAGGTAGCACATTCCTAACAGAAGAAATGAGCTTTCCATTTGAAGATCGAGAAAGGTAGCCTCTGTGTTTTTTCTCTGTACTGTACATTCATCCACTTAGTGACCATCTACTGAGCACCTGCCTGGTTCCAGTCACTAGCTCCTGCAAGGCGGTGGTGAGCAAGACAATCTCCCTCGTCCACTAAAATGATGAAACCACAAAGCTGCTCAAGCACCTCGCGCCTGGGTGCCACTCTATGAACCTGCTCCCTTCGCCCCACTACGCTTCATTTTCCTTCCGTGTGAAATGAGGCCACAGCGCCCACCCTGTGAGGACTCAACACTGTTAGCAAAGTACCTGGCACAGTGCCTGGCACACATGAACACATGTGTGGACATGGACGCATCATTGCAGTCATTTATAAGCCACATTGAAAATAAACATCAAGCTAAGCCTTCTCCATGTTATGTCGCTTTAGAAGGCATCTGTCACAAGTGACAGATTGTAAGTGACAGTCTGTACACTTTTTTTGTACAAAAGATAAGTTTAAAATGAAATCACTGGGTCGGGTGCTTCAATACAGGGTGGCTTACACCTGTAACCCCAGCACTTTGGGAGGCTGAGGTAGGTGGATCACCTGTGGTCAGGAGTTGGAGACCAGCCTGACCAGCATGGTGAAACCCCATCTCTACTAAAAATACAAAAAAATTAGCTGGACATGGTGGCGCGCAACTGTAATCCCAGCTACTCAGGAGGCTGAGGCAGGAGAATCACTTGAACCTAGGAGGCGGAGGTTGTGGTGAGCCAAGATCACGCCATTGCATTGCAGCCTGGAAAACAAGAGTGAAACTCCATCTCAATTTAAAAAAAAAAAAAGGCTGGACGTGGTGGCTCACGCCTGTAATCCCAGCACTTTGGGAGGCCAAGGCGGGGTGATCACGAGGTCAAGAGTTCAAGACCAGGCTGGCCAAGATGGTGAAACCCTGTCTCTACTAAAAATACAAAAATTAGCTGGCACGGTGGTGGGTGCCTGTAGTCCCAGCTACTCAGGAGGCTGAGACAGGAGAATTGCTTGAACCGGGGAGGCAGAGGTTGCAGTGAGCTGAGAACGTGGCACTGCACTCCAGTCTGGGTGACAGAGCAAGATTCTGTCTCAAAACAAAACAAGCAAAAAAACAAAAAAAAACCTGACAAGTAAAATAATAAAGAAATAAAACAAAATGTAGAACTTTAACTGGGCAGCAGCTTTTAAATATAATATGTTGAAATTAGAGGTGGTGGCTAAGCTTGGGAAGGTACTGTTTCAAAAAAAGATCTTTTTGGGACAAAATTTTTTTCTCTTGCTAAAACTGAAGGTTTTTTTGGTGGGGGGGTGTTGCAGAGATGGGAGTTGGTACTGTGTTTTATCAAACAAATAAGGAAGTTTACTGGCTAGATAAATTGTGCCAGCCAAAGTTCAGTGACATCTCCCTCCCTACTCCCAGATCCACTTGGTTTATTTCACACATTTCCCTCCATGCCTTTCATTCCCAGGATTTGTGGGGGGGCAACACATGATATTGCACATTTCAGAGCTTCTTCCCCTCCTCCCAGAAAAGTGCATGTTTCCTTCACATGAATTCTACCTGGAGGATTCTGTGGCAGCCTTTGGAATGGAGGTGCTTTGCTGGTTCCTGAAGATCGTTTCCAAGTGACAGTATTTCAATTATATACTTGTTCTACAAAAATGGAATCATTTGGGAACAGAAATCCAAAAACACTCTGCAAACACCAACAGTTCCATAGTCAGGGGCCAGTTATCTCATTATGTCTCACCGCATCTCTTCCAGCAGGGCAAAGGGGGGAAACGGTCATTTTTAGTAACTGGTGCCAGCTCTGATTTTAGGAAGGAATGAAAGGAGGAGTACAGAAGCCCCATCTGAAATGGGGTCTTCAAGTTCCCGCTGCCTTTCATCTGTTATTGCCGTTCAGGCCCTCATCACCCCAGACATACATCTGAAGAGTTTCTGAGAAGTGCTGGAATTTTGTTAGCAAAACAGAAATTCTTCTTCCACCCCTTCCCACGAATCAGGAAGGACTTAAAAAGACGTGGATTAAAAACATTCCTTTTAACCTCTGCAGTGCTTTGCTAAGGTACAGGTGGTGAGGGAGCCTTGGGGATTCCAGATGGCATGACAACTGTGGGCATCGCCCAGCCTGCCTCCTCCCACCTAACCGCCCAAAGGAACATACCAGGCCTAATGAGTTTTTTTAAATATAAGGTTGCAGAGGTATAGATGGCCTTTTATGAAACCTAGAAGTGGATCATATATGAACACAGATTTGCTAAAATCAAAATCACACCAGGGTCCAAAGCCATGAAACATGTTGGCTGCTTATTAAACAAAAAATGCAGTCACCTCATTTCATAAGCCTCCTAACTTACAATGTTTGTACATTTTTTGATAGGAATCCAACTTTGTCCCTTCTCTCCCTCACCTCCTGTGAAAAAATAAGGTTCCTCTTCAACTAAATGCTGGATTTATAGGACAACTACAATTCTGTTATTTCTAGACTACTCTCCCACAGTTCCTAAGTTAAACATTGCATTTCTGTACATAGTTTGTTACTACAATGTAACAAATTACACACAGAGCAAACTACATATGGAAATAATAAGGTAGGGATTTTTTAAAGAACACTTATTGAATACTTAACAAAGGCCAGGTGCCTGTAGAGTGATAAAAATACCAATGTCTCATAAAAAGAGTGATTTTTTTTTTTGAGATCGAGTTTTGCTCGTCACCCAGGCTGGAGGGCAGTGGCACCATCTCAGCTCACTGCAACCTCTGCCTCCAAGGTTCAAGTGATTCCCCTGCCTCAGCCTCCCGAATAGATGGGATTACAGGCGGCCGCCACCACGCCCAACTGATTTTTGTGTTTGTAGTAGAGACGGGGTTTCATCATGTTGACCAGGCTGGTCCTTAACTCCTGACCTCAGGTAATACGCCCGCCTCGGCCTCCCAGAGTGCTGGGATTTCAGGTGTGAGCCACCACGCTGAAAAGAGTGATTTTTAAAGTAAATTAAAAGTTGTCCAGAAGTCGGGCAGCTGAGGGCTAAGAAGCAGCAAAAAAGACCAGGCCTGTCCTCCAGGCTTCCCTGACCCAGGCCTCCTCTCTGGCTTGGTCACGACAGACTGGGTTTTGCTCTAGTGGGTAATAAGCCCATGGTTCAATGACACAGGCTCGTTCCTCGTTCTCCTCGCATCCCTGGCAGCTGGGCGGTGGCCGGGCTCCACTCACAGCCAGAGGCTGGAAATGACACATCACTTCCTTTCACATTTTGGGGTTTTTTTGTTTTTGTTTTTGAGACAGGGTTTGGCTCTGTCATTCAGGCTGGAGTGCAGTGGTGCATCACGGTTCACGGCAGCCTCGCCCTCTTGGGCTCAGGTGATCCTCCCACCTCAGCCTCTCAAGTGGCTGGGACTACAGAAGTGTGCCACCATGCCCAGCTAATTTTTAAATTTTTTTTTATTTTTGGTAGAGACAAGGTTTCACCATGTCGCCCAGGCTGGTCTCGAACTCCTGGACTCAACTGATCCGCCTGCCTTGGCCTCCCGAAGTGCTGGGATTACAGGCACGAGCCACAGCAGCCACAGCAGCCACAGCAGCCGCAGCAGCCACAGCAGCCGGCCATCTTTCACATTTTGTTGGCCAAAGCAAGTCTTATGAGGTGGGGAAGTATAATCCTTTCCCAGAAAGAGGGCATTAATTTTTTGGCAAGATTTTATTTTGAAATGATTGTAGATTCCCAGGAAATTGCAAAAATATACTGATAGGTCTCATGCCCTACACCGAGTTTACCTAATGGTAACATCTTACATAATTATAGTGCAGTGTCACAATCAGAAAATGGACACTGGCTGAACCCACAGACCCCATTCCAAGTTCAACAGTTTCACACGAGCTCATCTCTGTGTGGTTCTATGCGATGCTGCCACATGGCAGGTTCATGAAGCCACCACCACAGACAAGACAAAGAACACGCCACGAGCAAGGAGAACTCCCCTTTGTGGGCCACCCATCCCCTTCGCCCCATCCTGATGCTCCCCCTGCACCCACAGATCTCTCCTCCCTGGAATGTCATACCTAGAAACATCCAGTGTGGCACAGCTTTCATCAGCATCACGCCCTCGAGATCCAGCCATGCTGCGTGTTCACTGCTGATTGCTGAGACGTCCTCTGGGGCATGCACAGAGGGATATTTTCTGAACAGTTGAGAATCTAGCACTCTCGTCCCAGCTTCATTTTTTGGTCCTGGTGTTTGGTTTACAAATGGGTCTTTCATTTTCTCAGGCAGTTCAGAGGGAGGGTGCTGAGTCTGAGCCACATGGGGAGGGCACCTGGGCACCTGTCATCCCTCGCAGCCCACCTGGAACCTGGAGGAGGAGAGCTCCAAGAGGCATTCAGATGCTAGTTATTGGATTATTGCCTTTTTTCATGGAGGCAAGTCTGTGTCCTTGGAGGGCTGGGGTGGGACATGGGGGTGGGGGTCCTCACAAGCCCTAGGATGCTACCAGACTGCTCTGGCCCAAGGCAGAGGCCAAGATCCTGTCTCATTCAGGAGCCCTTGGGCAAGCCACACAACTGTTCTGCTGTTTTTACATATGTTAAACGAGGAGCGTACATCAGGAAGGTTCTGAGGTTTCTTCCAACTCGAATTCCATGGATTCAGGTTGGCAGAAGACTGAGCTCTAGGGAGGCCAGGCCCTCCCTAAGGAAACAATAATGAAGGTCATGTACTTTATTTTGAAAATCAGGCAAGGTCGGCTCCAGTTTGGGGGGAGGGGAAGAGAGTATATATTTTAAATCTACTAGGAAAATACAAAAAGGGGAATGTGACAGGGTTCCTTCCTGTGTTATGTCACCATCTGTAATTAGAGCCCACAGTCCAGCCCAGAATCATAATTCACATAACAGCGAAACTCATTTGCCAAGTTCCGTGTGTGTTTTGGAACAAACGTGCACATCTTCACTCCAAGGAGTTCTGCTGCCTGTTCTTCCATGATGGCACCTGAAGAGAACAAAGCAAATGAATCCAGAGAGTGACAGCCCAGCCGGAGCTCAGTGTGTCCGGAGCTGTGAGAGGGGCTCTAGGTGAACCACCGGTGGCAATTAGTTGACAATTCACAAGTGGGGGGAGGGAGTCTTCTTTACATTCCGTTTCACCTTCTCCAATATTTTTGCAATTTAATATATGTATGCAAAATATACACATATATATGCAAGGCAAAAATAATTACTAAAAACTAGCATTTCCCAACGTTGAGCCAAGACCCTTTTTCAGTAATATCCAATCTTGCAAACACAGGTGCGAATGTATTCCCACTCCCTTTTGCCACCTCCTACCAATTTCTCCCTGCCCTGGGCCCACCGCACACAGCCAGCTCCCCAGCAACATCCCCGCAGGAGGTGGCATCCACAGCCCTGATTCCTCTCCTCTTTTCCCCTCCACACTCGAACACAGCAAGCTCTCTCAACTTCATCTTCAAAGTATCTCTTTGACGCCCCTGCCCTACCCTCCTTGCAGGCCACCGCCCTCCCTGGGGTGCAGCAACAGCCCGCGGTGCCAAGGTTCACGCGCCCCAAAACCTCGGTCAAGTTAAAGCGAAGGTCTTACGTCTTCAGACAATTTGCGTCCCGTCGCCTCGGGCTTCCGAAGAAAACCCCAATGCCCACAGTCCCCTCTGTTAGGCACTGGGGGCCTCCTGCCCCGACTCTGCCCTCCCGGGCCGCTGCGGCCGTGGCTCCTGACCCCTCAGCTCCCTGGGGCAAAGTGCAGGTGCCTGGGCCTCTGTTACTCTTCTCAGGGTTAGTGCTTCCAGTCGTTAGTCTATTTTATTATTATTTTTTAAAAGTATCCCCTGAAACTAAAATGTACATGCCATGAGTCCAGAGCGCTGCCTGCCGGTACACAGAGCGGTGCACAGAGCTCAAGGAAGCAATGGAGTGAATAAGCGCGCAGGCAACCGTGGCATCTGTGCGAACAGAGCGCCCCTCCCCACACTCCAGCTCCAGAACAACGGAACAGCTCCCAGCGGCTCCACTCCCGGCCCAGCCCTGTTCCCAGCAGGGTGCCCAGGGGACAAACGCAGCCCGGAGTGACTGGGGTATAGCGTCCATAACAGCACTCAAGGGTGTGGACACCACAGGTGCCCAGAAGTAAAGAGATGGGTCAGTTGGTAAGGTTTCAGTTCTCAGATTTTTTTTTTTTCTTTGAGACAGTCTTGCTCCGCGCCCAGGCTAGAGTGTAGTGGCACCATCACAGCTCACTGTAGTCTGGACCTCCAGAGATCAAGCAATCATCCCACTGAGAGGTGAAGCCAGCTGGACTTCCTGGGTCTAGTAGGGACTTGAGAACTTTTCTGTCTAGCTAAAGGATTGTAAACGCACCAATCAGCACTCCGTAAAAACACACCAATCAGCACTCTGTGTCTAGCTAAAGGATTGTAAATGCACCAATCAGCACTCTGTAAAAACACATCAATCAGCGCTCTGCGTCTAGCTAAGGGATTGTAAACGCACCAATCAGCACTGTGTAAAATGGACCAATCCGCACTGTGTAAAATGGACCAATCAGCACTCTGTAAAATGGACCAATCAGCAGGATGTGGGTGGGGAGAAACAAGGGAATAAAAGCTGGCCGCCCCAGCCAGCAGCACAACCAGCTGTTGTCCCCTTCCATGGTATGGAAGTTTTGATTTTGCTCTTCAGAATAAAGCTTGCTGCTGCTCACTCTTTGGGTCTGCACCAACTTTAAGAGCTGTAACACTCACCATGAGGGTCTGTGGCTTCATTTCTGAAATCAGGGAGAGCACCACCCCACCACGAGGAACAAACACCAGACATGCCACTTTTAAGAAGTGTAACACTCACCGCGAGGTCCACGGTTTCATTCTTGAAGTCAGTGAGACCAAGAACCCACCAGAAGGAAAAAACTCCAGACACACCACCTCTATCTCCCAAATGGCTGGGAGGCCCACATAACCACACCTAATTTTTTAAATTTTTGTAGAGATGGAGTCTTGCTATGTTGCCCAGCCTGGTCTAGAATTCCTTGCCCCAAGGTTTCCTCCCACCTTAAAGTTCTCAGATTTACTCTATTGAATTTTACCGTATCTGCCTTAAGTATATCAAATCCAGCCTGGTTGCACACACCTGTAAGTCCCAGCTACTTGGGAGGCTGAGGTGGAAGGACTGCTTAGCCCAGTGGTTTGAGGTTACAGAGAGAAAAAAAAAGGTATATCAATCTCACCAGTAGGAAAACTCTTCTACATTAACCCAATCTAATGTCTACTCTGTAACCTTAGGCAATTCACTTAAACTCTATAGATTCCAAATTTCTCTTTGATAAAGTGTAGAGGCTGGATAAAATACCACTACTACTGATGATGGTACGTAAAAGTAACAGCTGGCATTCATCAAGCAGTCACCATGCACCAGACCCGGTGTTGGGTACTTCGTGTCACTTAATTCTTTAGGACCCTTAATAGCAGAGTATTATCAGTCCTAGTTTACAGGTGAGGAATCCAGGGCACAGAGAGTTAAATAACTTGTTCACAAGTCACACAGGAGGTGGTGGACTCAGGATTTCTTCTTGACCCTTAAGACCTGAATAGCCACTCTCAGTGACTTTCATGAGATATGAAATGCAGCACCTACCTGTGCACAGCAGAATCTTGCCCCGTGTCAGGTACTTGATGGTTTCTGATGTTTTTCTGAGACATTCCTCCGAAAGATAGGGAGGATCTGCTATTACGATGTCAAAACTATGTGCAGCAATTCTTTCGGGTAAGTCCAATGGATTATTGTAATCATAGAAAATAAACTCCTCTCCATACATGGCAAATCTTTTGTCATATTCAAAGATATATACAGTAAAGTTTTCTCTGCACAGCTCTCTGAGTTTCTGGTAAACACTAGGGGCACTCACACATGCGATTCTAGGAGACAAAATGAACACACTCATGAAACATCTTTAATAGAGAGATTACGGTGTTAACAACTACTTAACTAAAAAACACACAGGTCCGAGTGCTCAGATTTTCTTACAGGAAACAATGCAAACTGGTGTAATAGTCAATGTTGAGAAAAAACTTTACAGTGTCTCACTTTTAAGGAATCTGGTACTTAAAAGTCTGTAACTTATAATTTTTTTTTTTGAGATGGAGTCTCACTCTGTTGCCAAGGCTGGAGGGAAGTGGCGTGATCTTGGCTCACTGCAACCTCTGCCTCCCGGGTTCAAGCGATTCTCCTGCTACTCCTTCCGAGTAGCTGGGATTACAAGCACGCACCACTGTGCCTGGCTAATTTTTTTGTATTTTTAGTAGAAATGGGGTTTCATCATGTTGCTTGGCTAGTCTTGAACTCCTGACCTCAGGTGATGTGCCTGCCTCAGCCTCCCAAAGTGCTGGGATTATAGGCGTGAGCCACCGTGCCCAGCCTATAACTTATAACTTTGAGATATGAAAGACTATAGTTTTTATAGTGAAAAATGTAAAATAGCAGGAACACATTATGACAAAATTTAGATTGAAGTTAACCCAAAGCCTAAATTTACCTATTATTTTCATGCTAGGCCTTTGATATTTATTTTAAGTACTTTTTGTGCCAACTAAATACTATAGTCATTTTGTAATATTCATGATCTTGAAAGATAAACCCAAATAGCTCCCCAGCTCACTCCAGTTCTCCACAAAGATACATTAAAACGCGATCTCACTGCAGACAAGCTGTTCTGAATTTCTGCTTTGCTTCTTTTTTGTATAAGGAAATTAAAGTATCTATCTCACTACAGCAGCCCACAGTTTATGAATGGGTAGCGTTCCAAGAGTTAACTGTTAAAACCAACTGCTGGCCGGGCGCGGTGGCTCATGCCTGTAATCCCAGCACTTTGGGAGGCCCAGGCAGGCAGATCACAAGGTCAGGAGATCAAGACCATCCTGGCTAACACAGTGAAACCCCGTCTCTACTAAAAATATAAAAAATTAGCCGGGCATGGTGGCGGGCATCTGTAGTCCCAGCTACTCGAGAGGCCGAGCCAGGAGAATGGCGTGAACCCAGGAGGTGGAGCTTGCAGTGAGCCGAGATAGCGCCACTGCACTCCAGCCTGGGCAACAGAGTGAGACTCTGTCTCAAAAACACAAAATAAATAAAATAAAAATAAAACCAACTGACGAAAAGCTAGAAGTAACCTAAACATGGAATTATTGAGTTGACTGTGATACACCTATTTTTTTTTTTTTTTTTTTTTTTGAGACGGAGTCTTACTGTGTTGCTCAGGCTGGAGTGCAGTGGCATGACCTCGGCTCACTGAAACCTCTGCCTCCCAGGTTCAAGTGATTCTCCTGCCTCAGCCTCCTGAGTAGCTGGGATTACAGGCACCCGCCACCACACCTGGCTAATTTTTGTATTTTTAGTAGAGACGGGGTTTCACCATGTTGGCCAGGCTGGTCTTGAATTCCTGACTTCATGATCCACCTGCCTCGGCCTCCCAAAGTACTGGGATTACAGGCGTGAGCCACTCTGCCTGGCCACTAATTTTTTATATTTTTTTGCAGAGATATGGTTTTGCCACGTTACACAGGCTGGTCTCAAACTCCGGAGCTCAAGCCATCTGCCTGCCTTGACCTCCCAAAGGAGGCGTGAGCCACTGTGCCCAGCTGGTATGCCTATTACAGTGGAAAGTTCTGTGGCCATTTAAAACAGGCTGAAGCAGCCCTCTCTCTGCTGATAAGGAATGATCTCTTAGGTCTATTCAAGGAACAGAACGGTGTAAAGTATGCTTTCCTGGGAGTGGGGATATATGCTTAGAGTTATACAGGTGACCTCTAGAAGGTATCCAAGAGACAGTGACCATGGCTGCCTCATGGGAGAGTGCCTGGGGGACCTGGATACAATGGAGAAGAGATGACCTTTTCTCACAATTCCTTTGTCACGTTTGGATTTTTATATGTGCATATATTGTCATTCAAAAAAGGACCTAATTTAAAAATTACGCTCAGCTTTAAAAATGTATGATACATTTGTTAACAGAGACAAGGTACCCATCTTAGGTACCCATGCCAGGCTAAGCAGGCTTCTCAGCCCAAAGACACTGCAGCAGATAACAGAACCAGTGACATCACATAATGTTTCTATGGAAACATGTGTGTTCCTGCTGGCAGGACACAACTCTCCCTGAACAGCAGCTCTAGATCACTGCAGTGAGAGGGGGAAAAGCAGCTGGAGTACAGTGGGATTATAGCCTGACTGTGATGACGGAGAATGAACTGCAACCAAGGATTATATACGCACACTATGAAAACATCTTCCGATAAAGAAGGTGAAATAAAGATATTTTCAGACAACAAAATTGCCTCCAGCAGGCGTTCCCTGAGAAATCCACAGGTAGGACAGTGGTCCAGGATGCAAGAAAGAATGAGAGCAGAAAGACTGGTGGGTCTGGTGGGGATGGTGGTGGTTACCAGGCAGCAGTGGGATCAGAGAACCTATGTTGAAAGCCCAGCTTTGCCACTTCCCAAGGGGTGACCTTCTGCAAGTAGCTGAACCTCTGGTCTCAGTGTCTGTCTTTAAACTGGAGAGTGTAACAGGAACTAATGCACAGAGATGTGAGGATAGAATGAGATGACCCTGACAATGCACTTACAGCAGGAGAGGGCACACAGTAAGCACTCAAGAAATGCAGTTCCTACTCATCTTTAAAATGATGACTCAGTTCCTATGAATACTGAAGTTGACTTTCAGATGAGATTAAAAGTTGCTTCCAAGGCCCTCGTATTAGTGGCAAAAAGGAAAGTATATGTAAAAGCAGTGTCACTAAGAAAAACCTACTATCAAGCCTGTAATCCCAGCACTTTGGGAGGCCGAGACGGGCGGATCACGAGGTCAGGAGATCGAGACCATCCTGGCTAACACAGTGAAACCCCGTCTCTACTAAAAAATACAAAAAACTAGCCGGGCGAGGTGGCGGCGCCTGTAGTCCCAGCTACTCGGGAGGCTGAGGCAGGAGAATGGCGCAAACCCGGGAGGTGGAGCTTGCAGTGAGCTGAGATCCGGCCACTGCACTCCAGTCTGGGCGACAGCTCGAGACTCCCTCTCAAAAAAAAAAAAAAAAGAAAAACCTACTAAACGACTACATACAATCAAAAAAAGAAAGAGAACAGTGAAAAGAAAAATGGAAGATTTCCCACTACAGATGGCAGACTGAACACATTCATGTAAATGTGCTCCCTCACGAAAGCCCACTAAAAACAAGAGTGCGATTTCATGTTGTCTTATTTAGGAATACAAGAACAAAAACCAAGGGGCGTGTCAGCGGAGACTAAAGCAATCACGCTGAGGAAGCGGAAGAGCAGATGGGTGGGTAGTGGGGCTCGGCAGACCCGCAATGGCCGAATCCTGCACTGGCACCCGGAAAGCTGAGAAGCGCCCTGGTTCACGAGGTGGCACACGCGAGGGCTCAGGAAGCCACAGAACCCGGTAACTCAAGAAGCAGAGGTGAAGGTGGGGCCAAAACTGGGAGGTTTCACTGAAAGGCCTATTTTAAGAAGCATTCTTTTTCAGGATTATCTGCTATATCCCAAAGCCTGCCTCCCCATGACGGTGGCAGAAAACTGGAGGGATGTTTTCTGGATGGGGGGATGCTTGGAAGGAGCATGCCAGGCACAGTGGATGATGATGTGCCGTGTGGAAATTAGGAGGATTAAGTTAAACGCAGTGGACGATGAAACTTCCAGCCTTTCAGTCACGTGCCTCCAAGGATGATGTCAACTAGATGTGTAACTTCCAGTCAGGAATTAGGAGAACCTTCCCTGGACCACTGACAAAACTACAAGAAAAGTCTTAGACACGGGGGTTCCCTAAGAGAATGGCTCATTCAGATGCTCCAACTGTAGAGATCAAAGCAGATGAAGCTCCCAGTTTTCGAGTGCCCCACCCTTCAATGTCCACAGACACTTAAGGAACACAGATTAGATAAATATATCATATGAAATTAACAAACAGAAAAAGCATTTTGAGGTAAACAGACACTATGGAGGGAAAAGAGAACTTTAAAAAATTCTGTAATATCCTCAGAAGGATGAACAAGACACAATAATAAAGAAATACCCAAAGACCAAAAAAAAGAGCTGCAGACAATTCCAAGCATGGTAGCAGGTATGGTAAACTCAGTAGAAAGTTTAGAAGATAAAGTTGAGGAATTCTCCCAGAAAGTAAAGAGACAATAAATAGAAAAAGAAGAAAATTAAAAGATCAGGCACAGTATTCAAAGAAGTTCCAAAAAGAGGAACAGAAAAAAAAAGTGGAGAAAGAAATCAAAAAAATAATGTAAGATAATTTCTTAAACGGAAGGACATGTGTGTTGAGGATGAAAGGCGCTCCAGTACGCAGGACAATAGATAAAAACTCCACAGTGAGGCACATTGAATACTGGGGATTAAGAGAAAATCCTAAGGTTGCTGTGGGCATGGATAGAAAAAAGCAAGTTTCCTATAAGAAATCAGAATGCTACTGGATTTCTCAACAGCATGTATGGAAGTCTGGAGACAATGGAGCAACGCCTTCAAAACCTGGAACGTGCTGTCCAACAAAACCATCACAATCAAGAGGAAGGGTAGGAAAAAAGCATTTTCAGACATGAAAGGTTCTAAAAACTCCCCTCCTACGTGCCTTTTCTGTAGCAGCTATCGGAGGAGGTACGCCACCATGATAAGGCTGTAAACTTAGGATGGGGTACGGGAAATAGGGAATCTAGAACGAAAGACAGGTATAAGGACTCCAGCATGATGATAAAGGGAGATACCAAGAAAAGAGGTGGAGCAAAACCAGCGTGAGACCATGCAGACTGGGACAGGTGGCAGAGCCCTGGGATCAGGTTTTTTTTAAAGAAGTTGAAATATGTTTGAACTTACTGATAGGATATTTAGACAGAGAGTTCGGGGGTTAATAAGGGATATGGATATAGAATACATTAAGCCTTTTAGAACCCTTTGGCTTTTTTTTTTTTTTTTTTTTTTTTTGAGACAGTCTTACTCTGTCTCTCAGGCTGGAGTGCAGTGGTGTGATCTTGGCACACTGCAACCTCTGCCTCCCAGGTTCAAGCAATTCTCCTGCCTCAGGCTCCTGAGTAGCTGGGATTACAGGATGCACCACCACGCCCAGCTAATTTTGTATTTAGTAGAGACGGGGTTTCACCATGTTGGCCAGGCTGGTCTCAAACTCCTAACCTCAGGTGATCTGCCCGCCTCAGCCTCCCAAAGTGCTGGGATTTCAGGCATGAGCCACCATGCCCAGTCACCATTTGACTCTTTATATGCATGCAAAGTTCTGATAAAAGTAAAAACCAGGCTGGGCGTGGAGGCTCACGCCTGTAATCCCAGCACTTTGGGAGGCCGAGGCAAGTGGATCACAAGGTCAGGAGTTTGAGACCAGCCTGGTCAATATGGTGAAACCCCGTCTCTACTAGAAATACAAAAATTAGCTGGGCGTGGTGGCGCGTGCCTGTAGTCCCAGCTGCTTGGAGGCTGAGGCAAGAGATCGCTTGAATCCGGGAGGCGGAGGATGCAGTGAGCCAAGATCGCGCCACTGCACTCCAGCCTGGGCGACAGAGCAAGACTCCATCTCAAGATAAATAATAAATAAATACATACATACATACCAAATTAACGAAAAAGAAAACCTATATTATTAAAACTTCAAAATGGTCAAACATTAAGATTTTCTCTTTTGAACTGAACTCTATAAGGATAAGAAACAGGTTAGAAAATGTTAAAAGGAAAAGAGATAAGACCTTCCACAATGAATAGGTTTCTGAGTGGGTCTCTAAACCCAGTGTTGAAGCAGGTCTTAATCTGTCATGTGCTGCAAACCATGATCTACAATATTTGCAGATTATAGTTCAGACTTCTTACAAACCATCTGTCATCCAGGAAGGACATTCAAAATATTCCATTAGATTAGAAGCCAAAAAGAGAAACAAAATTTGAATCTCACCTGCCACCTTCTCCTACAGCTGCAATTGCCTCCTGTGCAAGTCGCAGAGCAGTTTCCTGACTATACCAAAACTGGCTCAACTGCTGTAACAGAGAAATGGGTTGATAACATTTTAGAACTGGCATAAGCTTTGTTCTTTTAATTTATATCTACTATACCAGTGGACAGATAGTTTTAAAATTTTTTTCTTTTGAAAATTAATTTTTCTTTGAAATTACTTTAAATTAATACAAGCCCTTAATGAATGAATGGAATCCAGGCACTGAGTATCCATGGCTATTACCACCACAAAAGGAGACAACCTGGGCGTGGTGGTTCTCCCGATAGAACATACCCCTACCTTTGTATGAGTTTTGCCAAAAAAAGAAAATAGAACTTGAATCTAAGCTTCTAGGTCAACTAGCAATGAAAAGAATTACAAACACAGAGGATGGAAGAATGAGTTCACTAACACCAGAGAATACAATCAGCAAAATCCAGACTGTGCTCCTTTGCCCACAGCCTCATCTTACCTTATGCATGTTTCCTGAATTACTTGTTTTTCCCTTGGGGGCAAGTTTGTTTTTCATCTTGCTCCTTCTGTTTCATGCTGATTGATGATTTTAAAAAAAATTTAGTGATCTTTAATTATCTATTCATAGTTATAAATTAAGCAGGAGTTTAATGGAAGAAGTAGCGTGGTTTTCCTCTGCAATCATACAAACCTATTTCTCCAACAGGCCTCTCTCTTCCCTGAATGACAGGCTGGGGGCAGCTAGTTGCATGGGGCATGCCAACTGGGGGTTCTCTGCTTTAAAAATCTGCCCTGTGTGGAAACAACTCAAATGCCCATCAACTGATGGACAGACAGAAAAAATGTGGTACATCCATACAATGAAATACTACTTGGCCATAAAAAGGAACAGGGTACTGATATACGCTACATGGATGAGCTTTGGAAACATTACACTGAACAAAAGAAATCAGACACAAAAGGCCACATACTGTGTGATTCCATTTATATGAAATGTCCAAAGTAGCAAGTCTACAGAGACAGAAAGTGGATTAGTGGTTGCCAGGCGTTGGGAGAATTGGGGAATTAGGAGGTGACAGCTGAAGGACATAGGGTGTCTTTTAGAGGCAATGAAAATGTTCCAAAATTGACTGTGGTGATAGTTGGACCTATCTGTGAATTTACTAAAAACCATTGACTTGCCGGGTGTGGTGGCTCACACCTGTAATCCCAGCACTTTGGGAGGCCAAGGCGGGTGGGATCACCTGAGACCAGGAGTTTGAGCCAGCCTAGTCAACATGGTGAAACCCTGCTTCTACTAAAAATACAAAATATTAGCCGGGCATGGAGGCACGTTCCTATAATCCCAGCTACTCAGGAGACTGAGGCAGGAGAATCGCTTGAACCCAGGAGGCAGATTACTTGCAGTAAGCCAAGATTGCACCATTGCACTCCAGCCTGGGAGACAGAGTGAGACTCCATCTCAAAAACAAACCAACCAACCAACCAAACCATTGACTTCTCTACTTTTAAAAGGTGAATTTATGGTATGTGAATTATATCTCAACAAAACTGAGATCTGCTTAAATAAGGAGAGCTTTACTCAGAGTATGGAGGACTTTTGTGTACTTCCTTCCTGAATGGAGCTGACTTTTTCCTTCTTTCTATGCCATGGTGGTGCTCTGGAGTTATCTTAGATTCTATTCTGTGTCTCTTTCTGGCTTTCCTACCCAAATTAGGGCATCCCAAAGCAGATTCTCCAGTTTGTTTAGTGAAAAATCCTCAGGGATTCAGCCTGGAAGTGGGTACCTCCGATGCTATGTATGCCTTCTGGATATGATCAGAAGGAGAAGAGAGCAACTGGCCCAAAGATGTGAGCAGGCCATCCTTTAATTACTCACGCAGAAATCGGCCCATGAGCCACTTTTACCACTTACGTTCACAGCCTCTGAGTTGGGAACCCAGAGTCTCTGCTGCTTCTCTGGAAGACAGACTCTCATCTTTGCTCCAGTTCCCAGAGAGGCTGGTAGTTTTCTCTGCTCTTCCACAGACCATCTTACAACCACTTTCTTTCTTTCTTCCAGAAATTTACTGAAATTTCTGTCAATAGCATCCTTTGTTTCTTTGTTGTTTTTTAACATTGTAATCACTTTTTTTTTTTTTTTTTTTTGAGATGGAGTCTTGCTGTGTCACCAGGCTGGAGTGCAGTGATGCAGTCTCAGCTCACTGCAACCTCTATCTCCTGGATTCAGGCAATTCTCCAGCCTCAGTCTCCTAAGTAGCTGGGATTACAGGTGTGCACCACCACACCCAGCTAATTTTTGTATTTTTAGTAGAGATGAGGTTTCACCATGTTAACCAGGCTGGTCTCAAACTCCTGATCTCAAGTGATCTGACTGCCTCGGCCTCCCAAAGTGCTGGGATTACAAGCGTGAGTCAATGTGCCTGGCCTAATACTTTATTATTTTTATGTTTAGCTCTTTAATCCACCTTGACTTTAATTTTGTGTATGGATTATAAGGATTGAATTTTTTTTTTCCAAATCTAGGATACATCAGAACTCAGTTCACACCTGTCACTTTCTCTGAGTGGGTTTCCTTCACTTCCCCTCCACCTCAAAAGTCTGGGGAGGTGTCCTTGCATTTTGCTCCCCATTTTGCTCCAATCATCACTTTTGTCTTAGAATAGTTTGCTTGAGAGCAAAGGCAGTGTTTTATTTATCGTTATACTACACTTGATGTTGTGTGTTTTTTTGTTTGTTTTTTGTATTTTTATTTTACTATGTTCTGGGATACATGTGCAGAACGTGCAGGTTTGTTGCATAGGTATACACATGCCATGGTGGTTTGGGGCACCAATCAACCCGTCATGTAGGTTTTAAGCCCCACATGCATTAGTTATTTGTCCTAATGCTCTCCCTTCCCTTGACCCCCATCCCTTGACAGGCCCCGGTGTGTGGTGTTCCCCTCCCTTTGTCCATGCCATGTATTCTCATTGTTCAATTCCCACTTATGAGTGAGAACAAGTGGTGTTTGGTTTTCTATGCCTGTGTTAGCCTGCTGAGAATTATGGCTTCTAGTTTCCTCCATATCCCTGCAAAGGACATGAACTCATCCTTTTTTATGGCTGCATGGTATTCCATGGTGTATATATGCCACATTTTCTTTATCCGGTCTATCACTGATGGGCATTTGGGTTGGTTCCAAGTCTTTGATGCTGTAAACAGTGCTGCAATAAACATATGTGTGCATGTGTCTTTATAGCAGAATGACTTATAATCCTTTGGGTATATACCCAGTAATGAGTCAAATCATATTTCTGGTTCTAGAGCCTTGAGGAATCGCCACACTGCTTTCTACAATGGTTGAACTAATTTACAACCCCACCAACAGTGTAAAAGCATTCCTATTTCTCCACAGCTGTGCCAGCATCCATTGTTTCCTCACTTTTTAATAATCACCATTCTAACTGGAGTGAGATGGTATCTCACTGTGGTTTTGATTTGCATTTCTCTAATGACCAGTGATGTTGAGCTTTTGTTCATATGTTTATTGGTCACATAAATGTCTTCTTTTCTTTTGAGAAGTGTCTGTTCATATCCTTCACCCACTTTTTGATGGGGCTGGTTTTTTTCTTGTAAATTTGTTTATGTTCCTTATAGATTCTGGATATTAGACCTTTGTCAGATGAGTAGATTGCAAAAATTTTCTCCCATTCTGTAGGCTGCCTGTTCACTCTGATGATAGTTTCTTTTTGCTGTGAAGAAGCTCTTTCATTTTAATTTGATCCCATTTGTCAATTTTGGCTTTTGTTGCAATTGCTTTTGGTGTTTTAGTCATGAAATCTTTGCCCATGCCTATGTCCTGAATGGTACGGTCTAGGTTTTCTTCTAGGGTTTTTATGATTTGGGGTTTTACATTTAAGTCTTTAATCCGTCTTCAGTTAATTTTTGTATAAGGTATAAGGAAGAGGCCCAGTTTCTCTTTGGCATACAGCTAGCCAGTTTTCCCAGCACCATTTATTAAATAGAGAATCCTTTCCCCATTGCTTGTTTTTGTCGGGTTTGTCAAAGATCAGATGGTTGTAGATGTGTGGTATTATTTCTGAGATCTCTGTGCTGTTCCACTGGTCTATATATCTGTTTTGGCACCAGTGCCATGCTGTTTTGGTTACTAGTCTTGTAGTATAGTTTGAAGTCAGGTAGTGTGATGCCTCCAGCTTTGTTCTTTTGCTTAGGATTGTCTTGGCTATACGGGCTCTTTTTTCTTTCCATGTGAAATTTAAAGTAAGTTTTTCTAATTCTGCAAAGAAAGTCAATGGTAGCTTGATGGAAATAGCATTGAATCTATAAATTACTTTGGGCAGTATGGCCATTTTCACAATATTGATTCTTCCTACCCAAGGGCATGGAATTTTTTTCCGTTTATGTCCTCTCTTATTTTCTTGAGCAGTGGTTTGTAGCTCTCCTTGAAGAGGTTCTTTACGTCCCTTGTAAGTTATATTTCTAGGTATTTTCTTCTCTTTGTAGCTACTGTGAATGGGAGTTCACTCATGATTTGGCTCTCTGCTTGTCTATTATTGGACCTTTTAAAAGGTTTATCTGGACGATCTTACTAATATGGAATGGTTCTAAATCACTCAAAACAAGGTGGTGGGCTAGGCGCGGTGGCTTACACCTGTAATTCCAGCACTTTGGGAGGCTGAGGTGGGTGGATCACGAGGTCAGGAGTTCAAGACCAGCCTGGTCAAGATGGTGAAACCCTATCTCTACTAAAAATACAAAAATTAGCTGGGCTTGGTGGCAGGCGCCTGTAATCCCAGCTACTTGGGAAGGTGAGACAGAGAAGTGTGTGAACCCAGGAGGCGGAGGTTGCAGTGAGCTGAGATTGTGCCACTGCACTCCAGCCTGGGTGACACAGCGAGACTCTGTCTTGAAAAAAAATAAAAATAAAACAAGATGGCATTCAAAATGACTATAACAATTAAAACAGGGTACAATTCAAAGTGGCAAGTGGTATGAATGAAAACATTAATAACACATCTTTAAACCAATAAATATTTACTGAATATAATAAAAAAGAGAATTGCTTC